GCAGGCCCGTAGGTTGGGTGTATCCTCACCTTTAGGGGCTATACTTGATCATGGAGTGGATGCCTGTACTATGGGTATCCTTATGCTTACTGTAGCACGATGTCTTGGCCCTTCTGGTAGTAACATGATGAATAGTATTACTACTATTAATGAGTGTCTTGTATAGGGGAGTTTCCTAACGACCTACCGATAATAATACCAGTTGCATTAGTGGCTGTATCGTGCTTCTGGTTACCTCATTGGAATCATATGCATACTGGTAAACTAGAGGTCGGTGGTGTGACCGAGGCACAATTCCTGGTCGGTTTATTTTTCCTTATATGTGGATGCTTTGGTGAGGACTTCTTCCGTAAGGAAACTCCCTTCCCTTCTGGCTGGACTAGAGGAGAGGTAGTAATAGTAATAGTAGTAGCTTATGAATATCCTTACTTAGTTGCTATGCTACGCGATCCTATCTGGTGCCTCTATGCTATCTATATATGATATAGTCACTTGCCTCTTCGCTTCTAAGGATAGGGTGCACACTTCGTTCGGTAGGAGGTGCTGGGATTCGAACCGGATACCTTCCGATTACTCACTTTTAGGATATCGTCTGTACACACTCATGCCCTTGGCCCTTCTATATTCGTGCGCCTACTTCATGGACGCAGCTTTGCTGAAAACAGGAGAGTCGTCAATGGGTTATGTCCTGCATGCCAGTAATGCCTTGCATCCGGGTTCGATCCCTGCCTATGGTATTTCTCTTCAGTTGCTATATACTTCGTCCTTATTGCTGAACATGTTCTCATCTCTAACGTTGTAGAGGAGTGCTACGTGAATAGAGCATGCAAGGCCCTGATGCCCTTAATGTTGGCCACTGCCCTTGTCCTCGTACTAACCTCTCTAGGTGTAGGATGATAGTAGTATTAATAATCAGGTCATACCCTCAGCCTGGGTGAATCCTGTGATGATCTCATGCTGTGTGTAAGTGCTACTTGTTGTTGTTGTGTGTTATGATGAACATGAACATGGTGGTGGATATCAGATACGGCTTTGTATCCTTTTGGAAGATGGTAACAACTACTCTCACTGATATATGTGAGGCCTTAGACATTTACCTTGTCAAGTTGCCACCTAGTGCTGATATTAATGGTGATAAACATAAGTAGGAGAAGAAGAAGAGCAAACAGAACTAGATAGCCAACAACAACACCACCAATACCAGTGTACTCTTAATACTACTATTATCATATAATGAATGTATCAAGTATGAGTAGTAGTAGGTTGATAATGTTACTACTACTTGTCTATGGGTAGCCCATCTCTTGAGTTCACCATTATTGTTAGCCATCTGTCAGGGTCCTCTTCCTTCATCCGTTATGTCCACTTCTCGAACTGATAACCCAAAGTCCGTGACATCCAAATTTTGGGAGGCCCTATGTAGGCATACAGTAGGTCTACCCCCTAGCGAGGCTACCCTAGTCCCCCCACCACGACTACCACCCTTGATGCCATGTGTAGTAGCTGTAGCTGGGCTCGTTATAGAATGTTTACGTCCTATATTAATAACGGCAATTCTGTCAGCACCGTTGTTAGCCGAGACACAGCAGATGAGGAGGCCATTAATGGTGTTAGCTGCTTG